TTGTCTCAGACCCAAACCTTGTACATTTTTGCAAGCGTGATCCTCTTTGGAGTACTGAGGGGTTTCCATCATGTTTTTAGGTTGGAAGTTCTCAGTCGCATGCAATGGAAGTCCTGGTTGTTAGGTTAGGACAAATTTTCCAAGATTCCTTTTACATGATCGTTGTCTAAAGTTGAGTGGTGGGCGGGTGTCATTGATAACTATGCCTACGTGAATTTGGTTTTCTTGTGTCAATATTTTTGCCAAATCGTAGATGGGCCGACTTGTCGCGCATGATTAATGCAGTCAATTGTAATTATAGCCCTGAGTTCTTGAATCATGTTTTCGTCAGGTTGGTAAAATTGGTAACGTTTTGTATCGCATATTCGACTGTTTGGCGATCGTATTTACTTAGAGATTTTCTGTGGATCGAAAAGGAGAGTAATTGGGTTAGTCGTCGTTTTTACCAATTCCTTTTTAAGAGTGCCTTCTCCGACATGTCTTACGACACGGTTGCGCATTGCCTGGGTTATCTTGACGTTCAACATTTGAATGGCCTTAAATACCTTGAGAATCTAAGACTTCATCTTGAAACAAGATCATCTACTTACTCTCAGGACTGATTCAACATTATAAAAATACTCGAGTGCTCTCTGCATCATATTTTGCCAGCGGCTGCCCACTTATATCAAGTATTGCTTCACTCTGTTCTAAGTCATCATTTTTATGTACAAATCGTCCTTCAGTTTATCTTGCGGCATTGCTTGAAAAATTAAACTGCTCCTATTCAAAATGGTAGATTTGGAGCACCACGTTCGTCAAATTCAGCTTAATCTCATCCATTTTGTTGTAGCTCGCTATCAGCGCATGGAGGTGGAGCGAAAGAAAATTCGCGTCCAAAAGACTGTCTCGCAACAGCCAATGATTCGCACTCACAGCTTCACCGTCCCCTCTTTGGCCGATCAGCCGGAAGTCTACGATGTCTCTGTTACTGCGGACAAGTCAGTCGCCTTCCACGTTATCCCTGGCCTTCACTTAGGAAATCGAGTAGATGAAGGATTTAACTGCATGAACAAGGGTTGGGACTATGGCTTACAGGACAGCAGGTCTTGGATGTCGTTAATGTCTTAGCTGTAGGCAATTGAGTCTTCTTAAAACTTCGTACCTGTTTGTGGTGATCTTACTCAAACGAATACCTTTCAAACACGGGATTAATAACTATTAAACTCTCTCCAATGACTGTTCAGCTCTTTAGACCTTCCACAATCAGATAACTCCTTGAACATGTTGGCGTCATTTCCTTAGGCGTCGTGTCCGAATTTAA